TTAACAACCGGTTCACCCAGGGTCAAGCTGGTTGTTGTGGGAGGTGTGGCCCATCCCTCCTCCAGCTCTGCCCCACGTGGGACAAGCCTCCCATGATAGGCAACCTGACCCTGGGTGAACTGGTTGTTAATTAACCCCATGCTATCACAATTAAACACCCTTGGATCCTGGGTGCTACACTGCAGTGGAGAAACAGGCAACGGAGTGGCCAGGACAAGGGAAGGAGAAGGAGCAAGGAGAAGAAAGGAAGAAAGTGATCTTCTCCTTCCCTCACGCTGGCTGCTCCATTGCCCATTTATCCAATGCAGTGCAGTGCCCAAGATCCACTTTGATAGCGGGGTGGTCGGTATTTTAACAACCAGTTTGCCTGAACTGGTGTGAACTTTATGAATCCCACCACTGGTTACAATCCAGGTCACAAGTTTGCCAGCATTGCTGAAATGCATAAGCCTCCAGCAGTAGCCTAAAGTATTCTTGTTATTTCTTTTCCATAAAGAATGCAACCTTCCATGTATTTTTGTCTGAATACTCACTTTACTTCAGAGCTCTTTTTCATGCTAGCTATGTCAACATGAATATGTGCGAACTGTAGAATTGTCTAACCTCTGCAACCGAGATGAAGCAACTGCAAATAGAGATCCAATAATATTAATAATATTAAGAAACTTGAAAGAAGGTGAAAACATCATTAATAGAGGTTTTTCTAATATAATAAGTTGCTGTGAGTTATTTTATTTTATCTTTAAGCTTATTTAGTTCCAATTGCTTAGTTTCCTCTTTTTGTCTTTTGCCTAAAATGATGTTATTTCATCATAAATATTAACAAAGTATTTGCCTCCATGATACATAAATAAATCAGAACATATATTTCATATCACTCTTTGAATGGAAGGCAGGTAGGATATATTTGTTCTTCTTTTTATCTGTAGGCTAAATGTTGAAGTAGAATTTATGTTTAACTTCATATGTCCAAATTGCATAGCACATTTCTAAATGAACTCCAAACCTGAATATATAATTAGAATTTTTATTTAATACCTTGTGTGACCTAGAGACATCCAGTGGAACTGGAGGCAGGGAAAACAGTCCACCTGTGTCGGTGGGAAAGTTCACTTGGGATTTCCAATAATGCATTAATCCAATAATGAAACAATTCAGCATTGGATAATGTACTTTAATTTAGAAATTAAAGCATTAATAATATTTAATCAGCAACTGAAACCCTTAATTTTTGGTGAAATGTTTTGAATGGGAGACTTATATTGTTTTCTTGTATTCGCACATATCTTGCATGCTTTCTTCACAATGGATATTGCTAATAAGCTAATAATAAACATTTTACAAGCATTACAATGTTTTAATAATTTAAAACATTTGAAAACTTAACTCCATTTTCTCATTTCCTTTTCCCTGCCTCTCGAAAATGCATTTCTTTTACTCTCTATTAGCTATGAAATAGATGTAATTGATTTGAATATTTTATATTAAATGTAACTAACAGTCATGCAAAGTTGGAATATTCATTTTGAAAGTAGGTGTTAATTGGCTTACCATCAGTTGCCATTTTTCGTGACTGTCCTGATGTTGTAGTTAACCTAAACCCAGCTGGCAGTGTTTCTGAGGAGCCAGGCATCATGCTGATTCCATGAACTTCACGTGGAGGAAATTGTCTTCGCCAGGAAGAGCCACGCCTAAAATTCTTGTCATCGCTCTGCAACATTCAATATTGAATTTTAGTAAAGCCGAAATCTTTTCCTTGGCCTAGCTGTCATTGCTAGTTTTTGAAATGTTATAATCAGGAAAGTAGATTATTGCTAATTAAAAGAGGTTTTTGCAAAAATTTATACTATGGAAATCTTTATCTGGTTCTATGGTGTCTCATGTTGGCCTTTGCATAGTTTTTAAAAACAGGTGAACAATATGTGCACTTGTTAACTCATTACATCGGTAATGACAAAGCTAGCATATACTGATAATTAGAAAAACTACAGAATATAAAAAAAGGAATGACAAAAATATTAAACGATTAAATGATTTTCATGTGATTTTGCAGTTGTGGCTAGGAGGGGCTTTGCACAGCTTTGTGCACCATACTAGATCAGGATACTCTGCTCATAGTCACCCATACCCTAGTCATCTCTAGATTGAAATACTATAATGCATTCAATATGGAACTGCCCAACTAATGCAAATGCAGTGGTGCAGGCAAGTTACATTGCTCCCAAAACAACGCATCAGACTTCTATTCCATGAGCTGCACTGGCTGCCAGTTTGCTTCTGGATTTAATTCAAGGTACTGGTTTTAATTGTTGTTGTAATCTCATAACTAGTGAAAATTATGTAGCTAAAAGAAACTGGTGGCATATCTTATCATTAATTGCTGGTGTATACCTTAACATGCACATTGGCAATTTGGGCTACTTCTGCAAAAATATCATGTATTAAGTATCCTAAGGCTTTATCCTGAAAGGACTACACTACACAAATTTTGCACAGATGAGCTACTGACCTGTTTTCTCGTTGGATACCCAACTAATTCTGAATTAATTTAATGTGACTAGATCCTTTTTTCCTAATAGAGCTGGCACAGCCATAATATCTAATTTCTTCCTTTCTCTATTTTCTCATCTATGTATAATTAAATTTGCAATGGTAATAATGTTCAACAATCAATTTAAGGTGTTTATTTCCTTTTCATTTATTTTATAGACACAACAAACATCTATTATTCTCTGTTGTTCATAAGTCATTATATAGAAATAAAACTACTTACTTCATCAAGGTGTCTATCTGTTCCTAGGGCCAATAAATTGTTGTATTCCCTCTCGAGAATCTGCCGTGCCTATGGTTAAACAAATCACCCAGCAAAATAATGTAAAAAACACTTCAAATCCTATGGAAATTGAATGGTTTTAAATAGTTAATTTAGATACCTGGGTATTCTGGGTTGGAATCTGCAACAATAAGGCTAAACTGCTATAATCAAAGTTATCATCTAAAGCTATGAGTGACCCATGCACACCACTTTCTAGCACATTGTTTGCATAATCTCGTAATCCAATTGCTTGTATCCAGCGTATAACTCTGTCATTGCTCCACACCAACACATCTGTAAAAAAGACAAAGGTGAATTTTGCTAATAACCAAAATTTTAAAAAGTAAGAATACAAGAACTGAGCTAAATCTAACTTAGCTATTTAAAATTATATTGTAGTCTCATAATATTGTTAGACCTGTTCCAAAACGTAAAGCAATTTTTCCATAAAATGGATACATGAATTTTCTAGAGATAATGTAATTGAAAAATACTTTAGTACAAATTTAATTATGAAGTTGGATGCCATTTTTAAAGTTTTCCCTTTCATATTGTCACATATATGAAGGGTCACGAGGATGAGCTTACATTAATAAAGCACATAGACACCAAAAGCCTATCCAATGTTAATGTATCTCTAGATTAACAATGTTAGCTGTTTAATGTAATGCCATCTATTAGTAGTTTTCCACTACAGATTGATATCTATTAATCTAATAGATGGATACTACTTGCAAACATAAACCTATTACTACTTATTGCTTTAGTTACCATTTTGAGATGATGGTGTGCATTTATCTGCACTTCAATGTACTTTTATGAGACTGTTTAGAATATTTTATAGGATGAGCATTGAAAAAACCTATTTTATGTTAGTAAAGCATACCTTTTATTTCATGCTGACTTGCTTCCCTTCTCCTTTCTAATTCTTTTCTATCATAATTCAGTTTCTTTAAACACATAATTCCATATTGCAGACTTGTTCTGTTATGAAAAAAAAGTAAACAACATAAGGCAATTGGAAAGTCTTACCATTATTGAAAATTCTTATTCAGCTTCATAAATACTGGAACTATTTTGGAGCAAATAATTTAGAATGAAAGAAGAATGCAGAAATCATAACATTAATATGTAGACTATTAGGATGCTCAATTATGTTTCTATTCTATCATATAAACATGTATAATTCATTTAGGAGTTGTTCAAACCTCTATGAGGAAGATTATGCATGTCCATTATAAAAATGTTATAACTTACCGATGAAAGCTATCCACCATTTTTAAATGTACACGGAGATCTTTTTTTGTCAGATGATCTAACATCCTTGCATCCACCAAACATTCCATGAAGTAACTTCGGTACTGTGGTAATCCTAGACTGGGAAGCCATTCATTACCAATCCATTCATGGTTCATATCACCATAAGCTAGGGTCTATGGGGAAAAAATAGGAAAACTTAATGGTTATCTTATTACTACACCAAACTGTCATGCCCCCGTTGGAGTCTGAATATGCAGGGGAAGATGAGCTGGAACAAGAGCTGATAGAGATTGAGAGGCCAGCTCCATTGGCCTTTGAGGAAACTGAGGAAGGGCAGAGTCCGTTTAGGCAAGGCTTTTCTGAATTAGTAAGGTCTGCAGACAGGGAGAGCTCAGAAGAAGAGCAAGGACTACCCCTTCCTGATCTAAGAGCAAGGAGGGAAGAGAGACAGGGAGATCAACACAGATTGAGCCGACTAGGAGTATGTCTCACCCCCTTTGACAAGGCACACCTGGAGACCGAGATGTAAGGAAATGCTGGTGGGAGGGGCATTTGTCAAGAACAAGTGTTGAATCTGTAAAGCCTCGTGTGCACTTGCCAAAGCCTGGAGATTGCTGTGCTCTGGGGCTTGTCAGTTTGCCTGCTTCACTGAACTTCTGGCTCTGCTTAGTTTGGCTAACCTTGCTACTGGACTACTCACAGCCAGAGGCTTCTGAAGATGTGTATGAGAGCTTTGCTCCAGGACTTGCAACAAATGTGGGAACATTTGAGGGCACAGTTGGAGCAATAAAAGGGAGTTAGACCTGTTCTCTGGGTGTGCTGTTTACATGCCAGGCCCCGGGTCATCACACCAAACACTACATGCGCACACACATGCACGCACAGGTGCTTCAGTTCTTGGATGAGAAATGTTTTCAAAGAAAAAAAAACCCTAAATTTGAAATGTCTGTGAAGATTCTTAATCAATTCCTGAAAGACTCTAAGCAACTTACAATTTAAAAACAAGAATAGCAAAGGAAGAATCTGTCATACCTTAACTGAGTTCATAGCTAATCTACCACAAAGTTCAAGAGAACAAATTTTAGAATTCTCAGCCTAGACATCAGGTTAAAGAAGTGCATTATAAGTGAACCAACCCTAATTACATGACACTTCTAACTCCAATATGTCACCAGGTAGCAACATCTAAACAATTTTGGCAGATCTGAGAAAGGAAGTGGGGTTGGTCCTAGAAAATACTTGGATGAGGAGCTGGCTAGGAGTTGCAAAATAATAAGCATTTTGGAATAAGCAAAGGTAACCTACTTCTATAATACCACAAAGAATTTGATGCCATGCAATAAAGGGAATGGAAGGAAACAAACAGGAAACTTATCCACAAAAAGTGATTCTGGATATGGAAAGAAAAAGATAATTCACATCATCTATTTAGGGACATGTATTTTTGCCAAAATGAAGCTGTTCATGCAAACAGTGTGAAGGTAAGATTTATTAGTTGTATTCATTTAGAGTATAATGCTAAAAGCAAATTTAAAAGAAGTGCATTTTTGTGGTGGTTGGTTTATTTCAGTTTGAAATTATTTGTGAAATCACTAGCATAATTAGCACAATCATTACTTAGTGTAATTATGTTGCAAGGTATTGTTAAAGCACTTATGCAAAGAACTGCATAATGAAAAACCAAAGTATTGATTTTCAGGTAAAAATGTGTTTTCACCAGGGTAAACATTTTGTGCTAGTTTTGGGATCATAGAACACAATTCAATAACTTGTAACTCAATCCAATCCAATTATCTTTGTAGGTACTGAAATATTTCCATATTAATTTTATCAAGCTGCAACAGAATACTGACTGACCCTCTAGTTGGTGTAATATGTAAGCTTTCCAACTTCCAAATTATAGACATACAGAATTACACTTCCTATTAGTAGACAGCCATTCAGAAAACAAAGGAAATGAATTTTGTAGTAGAGCTGTGCCAATTAATAAGCTAATTTATCATCTTCAGCCCCCAAACATCTCTGCTTAATACTAGATTAATATGAAAAGCACCAAACTGGTGAACTCCTAACTGCACTCTACAGTTTAAGCAATGTGCTCTGATCTATACAAGGGCTGATCACTCTTATTTCCAGAAAATGAATTACTGTTTGTCATGTTGAAAAAAAAATCAGAAGAAAGGGGTCTTACCTGAGCCCAGCTGCCTTCCTCACTGTCCTTCTGCAAGTTGAACAGAGCCATTAGCAATGTCAGTTAAGAACAAAAAACATAGAATATTTAGAAACCAATAAATAAGATATAAATAGAGCAATACAATATATCTTCATAATCCCATATTCTTTTCCAGGTTGTCATAAAATTTGGTCAGGAGGAGAGGAAAAGAGACAGTAAATAAGCCTCTTGCCACCCCAGATTTTCAGTAAGCCCCAGGCAGAAGAATTACTAGTTGGTGAGTCAGCTGACTGGGCACCAACTGATTAAAGTTTCTGCACCATGCATTTTTCTCTGGGAGATACTGGTCAAGAGCTTTGACTAGCCAAGAATGGAGAGCAGTGATACCTTGGCTTTTGAATTGTGTGCAAGCTTTTGTAAAGCTTGAACAGGAAAGATAACCTCAATACATATGCATTGTGGACAATCCCATGGCAATCATCCAACTATCTGTCAGCTGGGCCAGCAATCTACTGACTGCTGTCCCCAAGATATCCTGGCCAGACCTCTTCCCTAGTTGACAAAGGAATGGCTTTGGGAAGTACAATGTCAGAAGAACTTCTTATGATAGCTTCCTAACCCTGGAGCTTTCTAAACAAGGTGGGATTTACACATTAAAAAATATGCACTAAACAACTGAGGATTGAGTATATTTCTTAATTTTAATGTATTTGTATTTATTTTGATACAAATTATTTAATTAGTTTATAATTGTTTACAACACATTTCAGACATTTCCATAAAATAGCCTACCCATATGAAGCTTATTGTGTAAAACAAAGAAGATTGTTTTGTAAAATTATTACATTTAGTACTCCTAAAAATTTCCTATGATGACACTACAATAATGATAGGCAATATTAGAACTAACCGTTTTGGTTGGAGCTGCAAGATTTTCCATTTCTTCATGGGTTACCCAAACGTTGCCTGAGGGCTATTGTCCATACCCACAGGGTCAGGCAAAATCCATATTAGGTAAGCAGTGTTAAAGAAGAAAGGCAGCAACACTGTAAGTTAACAGCATACATCATCAAAATGAGCACAACCACATCCTTGTCTCAGGTGAGGTGCAGCTAGAAAGCAATGTTAAATAGCTGCTTTCCCCCAGCAAAAAATCCCTTGGTTGAATTATTCGGATATGGAAGGGAGCATCTACATTCTATTAAATGTGAACAAATAATCCCTATGTCAGGATTCCAGCGATACCCTACAGACTTCTATTATTGTTTTCATAAGTATCATTAATTTAAAACAGCTTTCTTTATCTGATTTTCTCCAGGTATATCGGAACTGTAATATCTGTAATTTCTATTCAGCATAGTCAGTATAACAAAATGATAGCTTTTGCAACCTGAACAAAATCTGGATCACATCAGATTGGAGAATACTGTATTTTATATATATAGTCCTGCATATGGGAAAATCATCTGGGAAGTTGATCCAAGAGATACTGTATTTTCAATTGTTGCTACACATGACCAGAAGTATAATGGAAGAAATGATGATTTAAGAAAATAACACATTAATCCCAATTGGGTATCATATTTTTTAATGAATAAATGTATTTGAAGTGATATTAGCCATAATTTAGGAATATAAAAACCTTGGTGAACCTTCTGAAGGATTATAGTTCAATCAGTAATTCTGTATCCTAGACAAAGTACAAAGAAACCTTATTTAAAGATTAAAAAATAATAAATAAATAAGGAACAACTGACCTGAACTCCTAACCTGGTCTATCAAGCTGGCCTATTTGCCTTCTGCATTTTAAAGTGACCCCTTACTAATTCCCAAATGTCCCATATGATTTTCAGTTTGACAGTTGTAATCCAGAAAAGTATATAGTGATCAATAGGTCTGGGAGCTTTCCAGTGAAGGAATCGAGAAGCTCTAGGAAGTTGAGCTGCAATGGGTTTCCATGTATCAGAAAAGCACACAGCAGCTATCTTAGTCCCTGAGCAAAATGCAGATAGCTTCCTGCTTCAAGGGTGCATTCTTGGCATGGGAGGAAAAGACTGCCTTCTGCTAACACCAAAGAAAAATGGGTAACAATCAAGATGACTTTTTTCATATAGGCCGAATTTTAGTCCATTTTCCCCACACTAATGTTATTCAGTTTATCATCTGAATCTAACTTCTGGACTAGAATGGTTTTACCCTTCTGCAAGAGAAATCAGGACATACTGAGAAAGAATATATTTATCAATGCCTATCTTCTAGAATGACAAAACGGCTTTTTTCTTCAGAAGTCACTGAATTTACCTGTCACTGGAGAACACAAATAGGAATAAGCTATTATGCTCTTCATTACTTGGTTGCCCAGAAGTACCTTCTAGGATATGTACTGACTTTTTGACAGATCCAGCAAACTCCTTTTTTATGCTTGATGACTCACTGTTCTAGAAGTTGGAGGGGCTGATGGGCTTGTGAGGGACACCATCTCCTGGATTGCCAGACGGAGCTTCAGACGGTGCAGAGGATTGCTGATTCCAATTTCTCTCTGGATTTCAGTATCTGACAGTGCAGACATGATGGCACCACTTTTCACATTTGCACGGCAAGCTGCAACATACCATGCAGGCATTCCTAGCCATAGCTGTTAGGGATGGAGAATCAACAGTTAAGAATTAACAATAGGATTATTTTTGTTACCAGAACTGAATTAAATTGGGAGTTTGCATTGAATACACATACTAATGATTAGATAAGCAAGTTTAGATTTAGATATGACATTCAATTTCTTATAAAGTTTTTCTTTCAAAAAAAAACATTAAATCACCAATTTCCCTCCAAATATAGGAATATAATAGTGTCATCCCATAATCAGCTTTGGTTCCATTGTAACATCTCCTTTATTAGAAAAACTATTTTTCCTAAAACAAACAATAATCTAAATACAATGGTCTAAAAAATAATCCTGACAGGAATGATGAATGGATATGAACTAATAAAAAAAAGATACAATTTTTAAAAATATGCCTTTCACATTTAAATTTAATGTGCTTTAGTTACTAATTATTCTGATTAAATGACAAAATTATAATTATCTGGGAATCTAGTATTGGTCACTGAAGCAAAATTCAAAACCAGGTTTATTACTAGAGTTAATATTAAAGTAACTTTCAAACATAACAACACACAACACTCATGACCACAAATGCTTTCTTGTATTAATTTACTTCTAAATTGGAGATTTTAAATTTATTTTATAGTGGTATAATTTAAAAAAATGAAGAACCTGCTTCTGGATTCTATGTAAGGTGTTTTTTTTTTTAACAAATGCTATAGCATTTACAAATGCTCTTTATTTCACATTCATCTCATGATGGACATTATATCTTATTTAAATTATTTTAAAGTTCTCACTTCCTCAAAAATATTTTTTTCTCTCTCTCAGTTTATAAACGTATAACTTACATTTCAACTTCCATAGAATGAGTGGACTTTTGCTTTATCATTCCTATGGATTTGGGTTAAAATATGCTGATCTTTTTTTAAACTGGGTAATTTTTCAGTTAGAGTTCTAGTATGATATGTCTTATGATATATCTTTTTTTTTTTAAAGGGAAAGCATTTTGTCATTCTATGTAAGAATGAACTGCTTATAGATATTATTTCAAGAGGGAAATGAGAATTAACGGTTGTAACAGGGTCTTTATTTGTTTTCAACTTAAATTATAAACCGCTGATGAAGAAGGTAAAATCAGGTATACTAATATTTTTAGAAAGTTTTCCTAAAACTTACCTCTAGCCAGGCAACTACTGTTGGCCCATCCCACTGTGCAAAGGGTAAGCCCTTCCTCCGAGCTTCCTCCAGAAGTTCATGCCTAAAAGTGCATTAGAGATAGTTAAAGCAGGAGCTAAGACCTAACAACACCACAAATGGAATTCAGTATGGATGAAATAAAATTGTAATGCATCATATCACTGATAATACATATTAAAGTTTTTCACCTGTTTGCTATATTCTTTGAACTTTAGAAAGCACCCCTCTTTTTTGTTCCCTACTTTGCAAGAGTATACCTTCCTTGGAGAAATCATTTTCTTGTTTTCACAGATGCATTTAGTCTTGGCCCATTAAAAATAATCATCCAATTTTCCTAACTTCATCTTCCAACTTTTACAAACAGGTTTATGAAAGTCATTATTCTATTTTGTTAGAAGCCATACCTGAGCACCCCAACATATTTATGCTCTAATCATAAAGTAGAAAACAATCAGAACTTAATGCCAAAAAAATGCCCAGTTGTTTAAAACAAGATTTTCACAGCTTGTTCAATGTGTGTTAGCTGTAGTTTTCCACATCATCTGTCTGCAATTGATTTTTATTTTAAAAGACTGCAGATATTTTTTTAAAGCAAAAGTTTCCTATAGCTTAACAAAAGTATGATTTGTCAAATAGTTTGTAATTTGACAAGGCTATAAATGCACAAGTGTATGTTCTACACACTGGAGATGTGTACCTGTGGCCCTCCAAATATTGGTGGACTTTAACTCCAATCAGTTTGCCCTGTGATGAAAGAACTAGGTCTTGTAGATGGGCAACATCTCAGGGCCTTTAGTTGATCATCCCTGCTATAAATCTTCCTACTTCTGAAATGGTTTCTGCAGAGATGAAAAGTGATCATATCATCTAGGTGGCAAATATTAAATTATGACTTTTGGAGAAGAAATGGTAAACTGAACACCATAGAATAATGATGAGCCAGTGAGCAGACCAGTTTTTTGTAATTTCTCTCCAGTTAAGGAGTGGACTTGAGATCATCCACAAGTGCTTCAGATGGTTGCTCCTCAGGAGGAGACTGCAAGGCAATGGTCTCTGATGGGCTTAGAGCTATGGCAGATGAGGGAATAGCTATCTTGCTCAAACCATGAATGGTACCTATAAAAGGACACTGTGTTCGCATATTTTCTTATCACTTTCAGAAATTGTTGTTAATTGCTTTTCAGTTACTGAGAATCTTTACTGAGTCTGAAAAGACCAGATGAAGTTACTTCAATTCTTACTGAAATAAGTTTTAAATACAAGTTTTAAGGACCCTTAAGCAAAAGGGTGATTAACATTTTTGTTCTGGCAAGATACAAATGGGCTAATAGCCTAGATGCATTTGAATAAGATTTTGGAATTATTTACAAGAATCATTATTGTGAAAATTGCTTTTGTTACGAATTCTTAAAAAGATGAGAGGATGGGACTTTGAAGGTTGGATACTACTAGAAGGAGCTAAATATTACAATTAAAGGAGAAGAACACTTACAATTCATTTGACTTATTAATACAGAATGGAGGAACATATTTTAATTTTGATATACTGAAGGATATTTTTAAACAATGGACTCAGAAGTTAATTTTAAGAGTGTTTGTCTCTACAGATAGACTGTCTCTAAAAGATGTTATGGAAAAATATAACTTTTACTGGAGTTTGTAATTTGAGACTGAGACTGATCTGAAAGTTTAAGATTTATAAATGACAGGCTACAAAAGTGATATGGAAAAAGGTGGTACACTGGAGATACAAAAGTTGTTTTGTATTTTTTAATATTTAAAAGGGATATATCAGACTAGGGTAACAAATCTCGATAATTTTCCTATATTGAATTTATAAGAGAGGGTTGTTAAAGCTTTCAAGAATTTTATGAGATGGGACAAATAATGAAAAGAAATCAAGTTCTGGGACATATAAAGGGATTAAAATCAAGATTGTTAAAAGTACAAGGAAGGAATATAAAGATAGCTTATTTGATCAAGGTTAAAATATGCTGGTCTCTCTGGATATGGACTTTTGCTGATTAAAATTAAAATGACAAAATTATATTTTTGTATTTTAATAGAAGGTGATTAAAAGGTTGTTAAAACTGTTATTACTTGTGATCACGGGGGTCATTTTTTTATACATTTCTTTTCTTAATATTCAGGTAACCCTTGACTTATGACCATAACTGAGCCCAACATTTCTGTTGTTAAGCACAATAGTTACTAAGTGAGTTTTGCCCTATTTTACAATCTTTCTTGCCAATGTTGTTAAGTGAATTACTGCAATTGTTAAGTTAGTAACATGGTTGTTAAGTAATTCTGGCTTCTCCATTGACTTTGCTTATCAGAAGATCACAAAAAGTGATCACATGAACCAGAGACCTTACAAGTGTCATAAACACATGCCAGTAACCAAGTGTCCAAACTGTGATCACATGACAATGGGAATGTTGCAATGGTCATAAGTGTGAAAAATGGTCATAAGTCACTTTTTTCAGTGCCACTACAACTTCAAATGGTCATTAAATGAATGGCTGTAAGTTTACAATTACCTGTACTTATTTTCCTTTCTATTATATTTTCTAAATCATCTATTTTTCTTTTTATTCTTTTAGTTTGTATTAGTTTTTATCATTGTGATTGTAATTCTTTAATAAAATTACCATTAAAAAAGATATTCTGCTACAATTGTCTGCTAGCTTTCCTTGCAACTATAAATAACTTACATCCAGAGGTAAATAATGTTTTGATTCAAGAGCAATAAGAGTTTTCTTTTCTAGAAGAGAGGGATACAGGTCTCAAACTGTGTGACCTGTTCAATGATGTAGGTAGTATTAGTGGGATTGTTTTTAACTATGCAGTGCCAGGGCTCATACAGAACTTTTCATATATTTCTCAGACTAGCCGGAAACCTTCCTGTTTCAAAAACCATAGTGAGATTATTCCCACTTATTGCAACTGTAAGGCACATTCTGATATTCAGTCTAATATAACAGTCTTCCTTTTCAGACATTTCACAGCAGTTTTCTGGGAGATTAAGGTAGTTTCAGAAAGGAGAAAAATGCGTGCACCTCTGGCTTTTATTTGACACTGTTAAACACTAAGTAGCACAGCACAGAATTAACTCAGTCTTCTAATAATGATTCTCAAAAGTATCTAACCATATTTGCAAATTGAAATATATGATTATATTTGAAGGCAGGAAAAGCTTGGAAAAATCTTCCACCATTCCCTTAAGAGATAAATGCTGAAAAGTTAATTCATCACTTATGGTTATTATTTAGGTGTTACTTCAGTATTTCCGAGTGATATAAAATCAATTCCAAAAAATTAAACCAAGAACTATGCATTTTCAATTATATTAAAGTATCTGGACTTTCTACAATATACTTTCTTGACTGTTCCCTCTATTGTATTTTATTTATTTTTATTTATTTATTTAATTTGTCAATCGCTTACAAGATAATAGGTATAAGAATAAACATGAGTATGAGTACAGGAAATAGGTACGAATAAATGTAAATAAATAAAGGTATGAACAACAGGACAGGGACAGTAGGCACTATTGTGCACTTATGCATGCCCCTTATGTATCAGTCACATTTTTTTAAAAAAATACAGTAATATTCCAAATTATAACAACATAGGAGTGCTATTATAACTGTCCCAAAGAAGATCAAAATCTAAATGCATAGTCTGTAGCTTCCTTGCCATGCAGAGTAGATGTCACTGGGGACACTCAATAGGTATAACTTTAGTTGAGAAATTGCATTTATAGCATTCTGAGCCTCCAATTTTACATGGCCTCTGCCACTCATAAAACTGCTGTGACATGCAGCAGATCCATTATACTTTATATATATATGATATATATGTTTATAACTATCAGCAGCATCCCAACCAAGGCTGAGAATAATTTGTGTACTAATGCAGTAGGTGAATAAGGCTAATATTCACAATTGAATCAGAATAGCGTGTTGGAGAGAGGGATAATGAACAAAAATAATTAGGCTTGAGACAATATATGGAACAATTTTGTCTTATTAGGATTTTGCTATAAGCTTCAAATGTCTCAATTATGGTTAGCTTTGCTTAGTAAACAAACAATAGATACAAACTCAAGGTTAATCGCACCAAACTTGATTGCAGGAAATACGACTTCAGCAACAGAGTGGTCAATGTCTGGAATACTCTACCTGACTCTGTGGTTTCTTCCCCAATCCCCAAAACTTTAACCTTAGACTGTCTACTATTGACCTCACCCCTTTCCTAAGAGGTCTGTAGGGGGCATGCATAAGCGCACCAACGAGCCTACCGTCCCTGTCCTATTGTTTCTTTTAATTTTTCTTATATGTATCCATTTCATGTATTCATAACTATGTTTTTACTTATACCTATTATCTTGTAAGCAATTGACAAACCAAATAAATAAATAAAAGTATATATTGTGAGATATTTTCTGTTGTTCAATAATGTAAGATATTGGACATATACTTGTATGGTTAAGGCATCAGTCTAGAAACCCAGAAACTGACTTAGGCAGAAAATCAACTTGGTAACTTTGGGGGCAGTCACTTTCCCTTAGCCATAGGAAGGAGGCAATGGCAAATCAATTGTGAACATTTTTTTAGAAAACAAACTGTAGGGAGTTATTGAGAGTAGTCTCTGATAATCAGACAGGATTGAATGAAAGGGAAAAAATGTATTTGTGCCCTATGCCAGAAATTCTCAACCTGATTCTCTTCATCTTCTACAGTTCTCGATTACATTGGGGCATGTTGCTTTAAAGAGGTCTTTTGCACAACATACAGTGATAAGTATTTGAAATTTTTCTAGAATTAAAATAGGATACATATTATTGCACTGTGTAACTAATACTTCATAATTAATCTTAGCCATTAAGTAATATAGTATACCCAAAAATATTTGAAAATTATAAGGCTGATTAATAATGAGAGTCCATTTTATTTGCAAATCCAGATGTTTAAAAATTGTAAATATTAATTTGTTTTCTATGGAATGACAAGCATATTTTCTTGTGATGTCAGATGAGAGTGGATGGCATTATTTTAA